CTGGAGCCGGCATATGGCTGATAGCCTTGAGAACCTTGAGATGGGCCGGCAGAGAGATTAGAATGGTAAGGCGTTGGGCCCATGCCAGCCTCAGCCTCTTCATCGAAGGGGCCACGGTGAGGGCTGCGAGGGCTTGCTTGCGTCAACGTGATGCTAGCACGAGGGGCCGTCTCGAGAGAAAGGGAGGGGATAGCCTCACCCGCCTTGCGGCGACCCCGAGTGCTCTCACGCTTGAGATCAGTCCGCAAATGCTCGATGTCGCGGTTGCGGTTGACTTCATCATCGTGAGAGCCTAGGGTATGGTTGTCACTATTATCCCAGACACCGAGGCCGGCGGCAGGGGGGCGCGAGTTGAAGCCCTCAGCGGCCTGGGCCTGGCTCTCTTCAGTGTTCTCCTGCTTCGAGGTTGGGACCATGCGAGCTTCATCAGCAGCCTTAGCAGCCTCCTCGCGGCTGTTCTTGGCAAACTCATCGGTAACAGTAACAGAGTAAGAGGGGTTTGTAGGTCCACCAAGTGGCTCACCGCCACCACCAGGAGCAATGAGAGGCACCTTCTTCAGAGCCAGGGCAAGTGCACACATGAACTTAGAACGGCGGCTGGCGCGGACGGAATCGTTGTGCCAGTTGGACTTGTGAGCGATGGTGACATAGAGCAGAAGCTTGTCGAGGTTACCGACACCGCCAACGCTAATGCTAAGATCAGGCTGGAAGTCACGAGCGTTCTCGGGTTGACGGACAAACTTCTCCATCTCCATGCGGAGAAGTTCAATGTCCTCGAATGAGGTATCGAAAGAAACGTTGACTTCGACGGTTTCGTGCATGGCCTTGCTACGAGAGATATTCTCGATCCAGATGTTATTGAGCTGAATGTTGGGCACTTGGACTGTTTGCATGGTGTCCAGTCGGTGGAAAACAGAGTAGAGGAGGGAGATCTTGTTGACAACCATCCTGGTGCCACTGATATCGACACGATCACCGACATCGTAGGGGTGCTTGACGAAAAGGAAGATACAAGAACCGAGGAATTCCTGGGCAGTAACCGCGAAGATGAAAGACAGAGAAAGCAGGGTAGTTCCGGCAGTGGTGAGAGTGGTAATGAAGCTACTCTGGAAGAAAGCAACTGTGGGGATTGTCAGTGAATTCAAACACACTTCTGAGGTGAGACTTACGGAAAACGAAGATAACGACCAGCAGGACGACGACGAGAAGAATCTTATCAAAAGCCTGAAGAGCTTGACCAATATCCTTCATACCTTCGGCGATTGCCTTTCTCTCCGTACCGATTTCGACAACCTTTCGGACCATCTCATCGAGACTAATATCACCATTGTCATCACCGTCGATCATATAGAATGATTCCTCAGCTTCTTCCTTGTAAGCGGGTCCAAGAACCTCCTGGAAGTCATCCAGAACAAGTGAGTTGTGACCCTCGACAACGTAAGACATCCATATACGTCGACCCATTGCCTCAGATGACTTAGTCTTCTCAAGAGCTTCGATGACGATGGAGTGAGCGGAGTTGGGGTTGAAAACTTGTCGGCCAGCGATCTCAGAGGCAAGGTTGCCGAAAACGGAGGTAACCTTGTCTCCGATCTTGCCAACCTCTCCAATGAGCTTCATGGGGGTGGCAGAGCCGTTGCGCTTGTGTCCCTTCTTACCACGGAGCATCACCTCAATGCTATCATTAATGATGGCATCCTCATCAGCGAACTCGTGACAATGGAGAGGGAAGAGGGTTCGAGATGCATCGAACAGAAGCCCGAGCAAGTGAACCTCACGCTTAGACTCCCTGATACGGTTGGCAAACGATCGCTGATGGTAGGAGATACCAATCAACTGGACAATCGCTTTTTCACCAAGGAAGACAGCTGAAGAAACGAAAAGAGCACCCAGGACACGGCCCATAGTGCGGACCCATGGGACGTAGTTCTTGCCTCTATCTTCCTCCATCCAGAGGTTCTTGAAAGTGACATAAGAAGCCAAGGCCCAGAAGAAGAAGGAGAAGGGAAGGATGAGGTTTCCGAGGACAGTTGCGTACTTGCGAGTACCCTTGCTGACGACGCCAGTAAAGAACATGAAGAGCGAGGGTAGGAACCAAGCAACAACCTTTGCGATCCAGCATGAGAGCCACATGATGAGAACCCAGAGGAAGATTTTGAAGAGCGGAGGGCCATCATCGCCAGCCCTGTCACCATCTCCGTTCCATTTGCCGACAGGAATGCCATCCTTCTTGCCAATGGCGGCGAGGACAATCAGGGGAATGGCCAAGAGAAGGCCGACGGGGACGACGTATACAAGGTATCTGGTGACAACAGAGAAGCCGATGATTTTGTAGTAGAGTCTGCCCATTGGGTTCAATGTGGTTTCCTCTCCTCCGGTACCGCTACGAGAGAGGCCATCGCCCATTCTCCTTCGACGGCCGCGGTGACCTTGACCGGTGAGTTTTTCGTCCTCGGTAGGAGAGTTGCTATCCATGGTAGAGGGTTGAGGCATGTCGGCCTTCCTCATACCACTCCGGGCAGAGGCATTGCTCTTGACCGGCGTGAGCTGAATACCGTCGCCCATTTCGTTATTGCTGTTGGTGCCACCAAGGGGAACGAAGCCTGTGTGAGAGTGACGCGAATTGCGGGGAGACAAAGAAACGTGGCGATTAACCATTCTCGTGTGTAGTTATATATCAAACTCCAACCAGGGAGTTGAAAGGGCGGGAGTATTCGATGTGGAGGCCCGAATACTTCGAGTTAAGAGGCGATCGACCTGTTGGCGTGAGTCGAGGCCGATGATGAAACCGATAGGCGTTTGAAGATTGGAGGTCGGGCAGTGCTAGCAGGATATGAGACGGTGGTAGGATATCAAATCCTAAGCCGCAATGATCTGCTTGCGCTCGAAGGGTGTCTAGGAGTCAGGTAGGAATGGAGGTGATGATCTGTTTGCTGAAGACTTGCTCCAAGCTAGATATGCCAATGTTGTACGCCGATGATGTAGTAGATTCAAGGAAATAAATGCAGGCAAAACGCTACAACGATCCCATGTGTTTCTCCTCCTCTTTTTTTGCAGGTATAGGACAAAGAGCGAAGGTGATCTGCAGTCTTCTCCAGCGAAGACGAACAGGAACAAGTTGGTGGTTATTTGTGCTACCTGAGGTGAGATGAGGAAGCGAGAGAGAGAGAGAGAGAGAGAGATCAAACCTAGGAGCTAGGAAACAAAACAGAAGATGGGAAGCTTTCAAAAGAAGGGCAAGCCTAGGCCGGGGTGGGAGGGCCGTGGTTATAATAGGGACTGGAACGAGAGTCGGTGGAGAAATGATGAAGAGGAAGAAGAGAGAGAAAGGGAACGACTAGGTAGAAAGAGAGGTTGAAGTCAATCATTGACGAACGAGGTTTCGGGGATCATGGATTGGGTGGGTGTTCCTTGTTCCTTCCCTGTCGGACTTGGCTCTCGCTCAAGCTCGTGTGAGTGCGAGATAGTTACAAGTTACACTGTGACGACATCCACTATCATGGTGTGCTTTTCCTTTTTTCCTCATGTGCTAGGTACTAGGCTAGGCCAGGTTTTGTTGCTATTTGAGGTTTGTCCGCCTTGCCATCCAAGCACAATCCTAGAAATACCAAGCCGGGACTCAGGTACCGTCAGCAACGAAAGGGGTCCCCGATTGTTTTTTTTTCCTTCCCACTCACGGGCGGGTCATGGCTCTGGAGAACCTAAGAACTTTGGGGCCGTGAATCCACCAGCAGCGCGTCTTCAGTCATGGCGAAAAGCCAACCACCCACTCAAGTTTTTCTCTCCAGGTAATGTATGGACCAAGTCCAATTGGGTCCTGGGTCGTTAGGGCCCTCAGGGCTCCCCTCTCGCTGGATCATGAGCCCTACCAGCTGAAAAAGGATCCGCGACAGGGTCCCCAGACACTGGGCACCTCTGCAAGTTTTTTGCTCTTTCACTTTTTTCCCTTTCATCTGCTGTATGCCGGGCTTCAGGGGCACCCGAGCCCCCCAAATGTCCGCGTTTATCCAGTAATATTTCAGAACGGCAGCGGTTCTCAACGCCGGGCCAGGGGGAGGCGCCGCCCCCCGGCAGCCACAAACAACCATTGACAAGCTGGTCTCAGATACCCCTTTGTTTCACGTCTCCAAATCGGGCTGGAGTGCTACGCGGCCGAAAACTCAACACATACGCGAAATACTGTACAGTACAGTGCAGCCTTTTGTTATGGCAAGAAATATGTAGGATTCAACCAAGGATGAGACGTGGGCTTATACGAACGTGATTTTGGTAGGCAAATGCATGACATTTCTCAGCTTTGACAATCAAAGTCTGTTTATGTCTCGGTTTGCACGTCTAAAACACCCGACCACCAACAGGCCATCCATCTACAACACCGCAAGAAGAAAATCTTTACCACGAACAGAAGACACACACCCAAGCAAGGGAAGAAACATAACAAAGACTGGGGACCAGAGGCGATTGTCGATACGAGATCAGTCAATCATCGATGCAAAGCACCAAAAGTTAACATCTAACCGTATCTTCTCCATATTTATTCCACTCAGCACTGTCCACCAAGAAAGCTTCAAGCTCTCGAGGTGTCCCTCCGTGGCAAAGATTTACACCAGAGATCTCAAGGGGTCCATATACCGATCCCACATCGGGAGCTGACGTTTTGACGCCAGCAACTGCCACAGTGAAACACGGTACGGTTTCTCCCTGATCTGTGATAGTTTGAATGTTGTTGAAAGAGTCGTCATGCTGCACATGGCGAGAATCATTACGAAAAGTTCTTATTCGATGTTCGACTTACAAAGGGTCGATGGCGGCTCAACAAGTTGTAGGCTAGCGGCTAGCCTCTCGTGCCTTCAACGGCTGAGTTTCCTTTTTGTGTTACTGATTCCCGACTAGCACACCTTTGGATAATTGACGCGCAATTAAGACATTGAAGACAAGACGAAACCAACCATTTTTCTTTTCGTCATTCTCGGGAATTCTAGCGTCTGCGCTACCAGAAAATGAGGGTCTTGATCAACTTGAAAGCCGCCAACTGCCGCATTGTCTTGGCCGTTGGTATCTTCGGACGAAGTTTGTGTAGTCTGATCAAAGATCCTGACGTTGATATTGAAGAGAATGCTGAAGATGCTGTCTATGATGCTGTCTATGGATATCTCATTCTGGCCATTTCATCTTCTAACTACTCCATGATGCATCTTCGGCTCACAGCCACCATACCAAGACTTTATTTCCTGCTCCAAGCCCCTCTCATCTTGCCACTGGTTCAGAAGAACAAAGCGAACCATGATATTTACCCCTGCAGGCACGAAGTGACCTCAAGTCATGCTATCCCGCATTAGCCTGTGTCAACGTGTCAGAATAAGGGTGACGGCAAGGGAAAAAAACGCTCGCTAGTTAGTCCACGCCTTGACCTCCATCCACTGTGATGGAAGTCAAAGTCAAAAGAATCGAGACCGTGAACTTTTTTTTCCTTTTTCTTTTTTTGGGTTTCATCGTGGATTAATATGGCAAAGTTTGCGGATATATGAAACGAGTTGAGGAAACGCTCTTATCGATTATGTCCCCCTATTTCTTCGCAAGGCGACATTAAATTCGGTTCATCTCCCGGTGCCAAGAATGTGTCTTTGCTATAAGCTGATGGAGTGTAACCCTACCTACGCTGACACTGACACTGGGAGTTGGCACGACGTCGAAACTGGAACTTGAGAGGACCGACAGTTTGGGTCATCACTCGGCTTATTCCACCAACCGCATTTACTCTACCAGTATTACTCTTTCAACTTCAACTTGGTCCTATAATACTTTGCTATTATCATCTTGAATGATCATTCTCACAGTTGCTAATCTGCTGGACCCTTCATGTCTCACTCCTCTCCCACAGTGCCCATCCACCTTCGACAACGCAATGTCGATCCCATTATTCATGAGAAATCCACGTAGGTCGATCAGCAGTCTCCGCTTCAACCAGCAACAACAAGAAAATGCAACGTGATCTGATCGATCAAACATCCCCGGAAAAGCTTGGCCGTGCTCTTGCTCTACTGTAGAAACGCCCAAAGACTTCTCACTCCCCCAGTTCGTATCGTCGGGGCATCGTAAACGAGAAGAAGCTACACAGTATGTGCGTCACTCACTAAGCGCGCGCAAACATCATGACGTTGAATGAATGGGAACTTGTATGTACGGCGAGACGGTGTGTCTCCTCGGTTTACAGTAGACGCCCGTGTCGGCCTCGGCATTATAGTCTCACTTCATAATTCAGTTCTGTCACTGAGCATCAACGCCTTTTGGGCATTTATCTCCTTCCAACCCATCTGAATGTTGATCAAGTGGAGATGGTGATCATCTCCCGAGGCCCCGAATGAGAATGACGGAATTCCCACCTTGGGCCAAGACAGGTCCAGTTGAGAAGCCCGCTTCACTTTCCGCTATCACGACGTCACTCACATTGAACTAAAGAGCTCGGCGAACTTCAGCGTCAGGTTTTGGTGAATAACGTAACCGTCAGAGACGTAAATTGCACAGACGATGCGGACTATTATCATATGTACAGTAACTAGTCTTCTCCTGACGTCACTTGACTATAAACTAATACACTCGTTTCTCCTCTTTCGTGGGGTATTCATCTCCCTTAGTTAAAGACAAGGCCCAATTCCATTTCGCTTGCTACTTTCTCGTGCAGGGTATCATAAAGAGTACAGTACAGAACAAACTCTCCAAATCAATCAAGTCTCCCATAAACAAACGCCAAATGTCATGATATCACAATCTCCACCATCAACCTCATCGTGTCGTCTGGACTCCTGACGTAAGTCCAATTGTATCCTTCAACTCAACTTTTGCCTTGTCGTTCTCATAGCCGAAGTCACTGCTGTGATTATCCTCGGGCTCGCCAACTGTGTCAAACTGATACAGAGGCTCCAGTCTTGCTTCTCGTTGGAACAAGATCCATCGTCTGATCCACCAGGGAAGCACTTTCGTGACTTGATATCTCATAAAGACACGAGTGGGTACTGCAAAGATGTAGTCCAGCTCCTCGAGTGTCCGCTGTTTTGTTTCTGGTAGCAGCAGGAAGATCATAACCAGCGCGACGATGTTGAACCCTGCATACATGCCAAAAGCACCAATGGCGTGCAATCTAGCCAACATCAGTGGGAAAGTAATAGACAATACTGCCGCCCAGAAAAGGCAGGTTGCCACAGCCCACGACATGCCCACCTCACGATGCGACAGAGGAAACACTTCAGCTGAGTAGGTGAAAGGCACAGGTCCTTCGCCAGGTGAGTAAAAGGCAGCGAAAAGATAGACGAAAAACGCAACCAAAGCCATATGAGCTCCGCCTGTGCCTGGGATCAAAGTACATAGACCTGCTGCAAGTAGTGTCCATGCCATCTGAGGAAAGGTAAACAGTAGCAGCGATCGTCGACCAAAGGTGTCTATCGTCCATATTGCAGGCCAGGCAAAGACAAAGTTAACCAGCCCAAAACCCATCGATGCCAGCAGAGCTTGGTTATCGTCAGCACCTGCATCTCGGAACACACTTGTCGAGTAGAACGCGATAATATTGATCCCACACATCTGTTGGGCAATCATGACGACGAATGAGGCCACAGTAGCACGGCGCACGCGAGGAATAGTGAAAAGCTCGATGAAACGCTTGGCATAGTGTGCCTCGCCAATAAAGTCCAGCTCGACCTCGAGTTGCGCATGGATGTAGTATAAGTCGCGCGCGGCCTGGATCGGGTGGTTTCGTAGTCGTAATAGGGATTTCATCGCATCTTGGTAACGGTTCTTCTTCATGTACCAACGAGGCGATTCTGGGCAGAAGTAAATCAAGCACATCAAGGGGACAGCTGGGATGAACGCCGATCCTAGCTGGAATCTCCATGCGTTATGGCCGATTTTCGTAACAGCGACATTCGCACACGTTCCTAGAAAGATACCGAAAGCCGTCCACATCTGCCAACTCATGACAAAGGCTCCTCGAATCGGGGCAGGTGAGTTTTCCGCGGCAAAGATGGGGACTGTCTCACATGTCAGCTACAAGGTCCCAGAGACGTGCTGCTTGTCTTGTGGTCCGGAGACGTAGAAACTCACCTGTTGAAGCCTTGGTACCCATTCCAATACCAAGTAATACGCGACACGCAAAAAGCTGTCTCCAGGTGTTACAGAAAGCGCTTCCAATGACAGGCCAGAGACAAAAGTTGGCCGAGAAGAATATCGTGCCGCGACGACCCCAACGGGAATTTAGGGGATCCGAAAGCCAACAACCAAAGAGAGCTGTTCCGATGTAAGGGGCAGAGTTGACGAGACCGACGAGGAGCTTGTCGTGTATACTTTCACTGCCGATATTGAAAGCATAGGGAAACTCCAAATTCGCGCCATTCGAACCGGTTTGATCCCATCCTTGTACGGCTGCGCCGATGGAGCATGTCGCAACGGTCAAGTACAGAACAAAGGGGACTCGCCACTTGTGGAGGATTTCGTCTCTGAGAGCTTGTATCTCTGTGTCGTCGAGCTTTTCGTCTCCATCGATATCCTCATAGCCAGTAGGGTCCTGGGCAACTAGAGCGCCCTTGCGAATGAGGGGGCGGTACTGCTCTAGTTCCTTTTTTCGACAGAAGTCATCAACATCAGCTAGAAGTCTTGCTCGTGGAAGACCCCAGAGAGGATTCTTGATTCTTGGGTCATGTTAGTCATGAAGGATTGAGCGGGCGTGCCGAGGTTTAGTGAGCGTACTTGGCTTCAATGTTTGCATGAAGGTTGACATAGGCTTCTGAAGGACGCCGTGCATGTTCTATCATGGAACTGGAAGGATATTCATTGGTGGTCCTTGACAGACTGAGAGTACTGATCAGCATATGGATCGGCAATGGGTCAGCAAGGGTAGAATATACCGTTCTATGTCGTCTCCGCCGCGATTCGGCGCCATCTTGTGTTATAAAAAGCCAGTGACTGGTAAAGTGAGAGTGAGTGACTGAGGGTGGCGGGTTGAGAGTAAGATGGGTTTGGTCGGAGAGGCGGGCGATTGCCCGATTGAGAAAAGACTACACCAATGATGTCGATTGTGGTGAGAAGGTCGTGGGTGAGTTGGTCAAAGATAAGGCGAGGCGTAGATATCACAGAGACAGTCGAGCTGAGCCGAGTTGACTGATGAGCCGTGTCAAACGTTTCTAGCGGGTGTCGTCGGTCGATCGCTTCAAGATGTGGGGTTGGAAGCTGGGGAGATGAGAAGAATGAGGCACAGTCAACGCCAAAGCCGAGGAAAAGAGGGTGATCGATGACTGTTTAGTTGTCGCAACGATTGGGAGATGTTAGACGTGAGATGAGGATTAATAATATGTAAGAATCAACCGAGCAGTTGACTTGGAATGAGTTGTCATGAGTTTGGTAAAAGAGTTTGGAGGAGGCAAAGTTGATGAGTTGAGTAGAAGGATCCAGGCCGTTGGTTTGATTAGCCTAGTTGAGTCGAGTCGAGGCGGGCGAGTCTGGGGTGAGACGACGAGACTTGGTCTGGGCACTACCTTAGTAAAGTTACTGGACGTAGCACTGGACCTAGGACTATAATGGCAGCTTCTTGAATAGACCTAGTGATGGGGATAATGCACTAAGAGTGGTGGTACTCGTCTGTATCACATTGAATTCCAAGTTCACACAGGAAGAGACAACAGATTTACGAGAAAGACGCTGCGCTTTATTCGGGCTTTGACCGGCCGGTGACCCAAGGACAAGGTCAAGAACAAGGTCAAGATGGGGGAAGACAGGGTAAAGGACAAGGGTCTAAAGGACAAGGGTCTAAAGGACAAGGGTCTTGACTTCGGTTCGTTATTTGCAGGGATTATCTATCAGCTTCAATACTTGTCTTTGGGACATGACAATTGGCAATTCTTTATATTAATACTGACTTGCCAAGGTACGTGTATTTTCAAGTTAATCTCATCGTCCTCTCTTCTTCCTGTGGAGAGTCCGATTGCCCCATGTCTACCTCATCAGATAAAGATTGCATGCCCATCCTTGTCTTCATATCTTACTTAAACCAATGGGCATACCGAGCTCAGTTGGTCTGTCTTTATCTCATTGAGTTTCACTTCCTGGGACCATTTCAACGCCGAATTGACATCCAAGAACAAAGAGACTCTGATAACTCAAAGTCAACATGTCCAATATAAACTCCTATCCTGGCCCAGCGCCTTGAAAGAGCATCTTTAGACAAGGGGACCTTGTCTCGGTTCCATTGCCACAGTCCAAACTGTCTGACATCCCTCCATCCTTTCAGCCTCTGTGCCGCCTCTCTGCAACCCTCCTTAACATGCCGAACTTTTGTTCCGAGAGACAAGCCAGAGAGTCAAATAGCATGTTGTTGTAACCGACATATGTAATCACAAGGTACCATGCATGTCTCATGATCAAACCCAGAATGACAACTTAAAAGTTACGAGTGTGGTTTCTCATGATCCAAGACAATGGAGATCAAGGATCTTGTAATTTCCCGGGCGAACTGTCTCTAGCAGTCAATGATCTGCGCAATCACACATCTCGAATCCTCCGGATGCAAGAGAGGTAGACAATATCACCCGGTTCTGTCGTGAAGGATTCCTCGGGTCTTGGGAACAGCATGGATCTACATCGCATTGCTTATTCGGTTAACCGTTTTGGCTTACCCGTTCTTACACACTCCGAACCGGCTCCGACTAAAGTGTAACGTTTGAGGGTTACACGTGATGCTACATGTGGTCCAACGGTGTGCTATCATTGTTCATTGTTTCTAGTCTCTTGATTTGAATAACACCGTAGAATGAAACGACTTTTCGTCTAAAGTTCCCAATTACCCCAGAATTTCCAAGAATGACCTTATTTGCTGCTCTCTCGGGCTGCTTGGCTTCTTCTTCAGCTCAAGGCAGCAGAATTCCCTGCATCGTGAGTGGACGTCCCCAGGGTAGCCTCATCTCCACCAACACCACAGACTCTTATCTCGATACCCCTTCTCTCTCGCGTTTTCCCCAGAGAATCCCAGCTCATCGGCCCTAACTATGATATCCGATATGCCCTTGTGCGATCCCCAGATTCCCCGTGGTTTCTGAGATCTCTCCGCTCGTAAATCTATCCAATCGTGAGATCCCAACATCAACTATCCACACCTACCAGAAAGGCTCTCACTTGGTAGGAAATATCACTATAGGAGTATAACTAATGCAATAGCTATCGTGTAGCATGCTTACACATTCTCGGAGTCGCCGATGTGATTTCCTCGCCTTTATCTCAATTCGGATGGTGAGTCTCCGAAAGATCCGAATATTATCTACCAAACAAGGCTCTCGTAAATGTTTAGTGACACCATCTTACATTATGTGTGCCCGGAATGCACAGAACTGCACTGTATCGAGGTTCACATTCACCGCTGTTTGGAACACGATCACGATTTCCAAGGTAACCACGTATTATTCTCAGTAAACAAAGTGCCCAATATAAGCGACCATATACAAATATGCGCCAATTCGCAAAGTATCAACCAAAAGAAGCAACACCATATCTGCCCTGGAGAAAGAAACAACCTAATAACTCCGCTCAACTATGTACGCCATTGCAAACCTCGACAGTACCCCACAAAGCATCATTTCTTAGGTACACCCCTTAGAATATCCGTCACCTTCATCCTCAGATCCATAAACGTCTTATCCTTCTTATCCAACTCTTCAAGCAGCTTCTCATACTTGGCCTGCCACTCATCCGCAGATAACTTGGATGCTGATTCCGTAGACACGGCTTCGGGACTCGGCTCTTTAGAGCCGTCAAGCATCTCCACCGGTACAGCAATTTCCATCTGATACTGGCCCCTGAGATGACCTAGGCCGTATATCCATTCACAGCTATACTTCATCGCACCGTCCTGCACGCCAATGCGTTTGAGTTTCGTCGTTCCGGCTAGGAGGTACCCCCCTCCTGTCATGGCAGCTAGGTTGATCAAAAACATGTCCGGTGATGCTGCCTTTCTGTACAAGTCTTCAAGAACCGAGTTGACGATCGCCATCGCTTCGGTCGTTGAGCATGTATGTGTTGGATTCCCTTCAGCATCGAGCCAATTTGCCCCAAAGAGACTGCGCATCATATAACCGATAACCTCATCGACGTTGGTACGTTCTTCAAGCCTCTCAAAATACAGCCTAGGAACGTCCTTTTGTTGTGCCATTGTATCCTCAGCCCGATGCTGTCGTGACATAGTCACTTCGTTCGTAGCTCTTGCAAAGTTCGATGATGTTCCGACGTACGTATGCGGAGGAGGAGCCTGGGTTTCACTGGGGCCGTTGATGACCACGACTGGGGGAGGAGTTGCAAGTCTTACACTGCCCGATGGTCTTTCGGGGACTTGTAAAGATATACTCGGGCGAGAAGGCCTCGGTGGAGCAGGGGTAGGATGCGGCTGTGATGTTATAGAGGGGATCGAGAAACTACTCTCTGATTGTCCACTGTCTACCCCGGGAGCTGAGACTGGCGGAGTACAAATGGGGGCTACGGGTTCCTCAGGGGCTGTTGTGGTGGTCGTGGTAGAAAATGGAGGCAGAGAAGCATCTATAGGAGTTCTGTTCATCGGTGGCCGTCCTCGTGGTTTGGCACCACCGTTGGGGACTCCCGGTCTCCAGGCAGAAGACACATTCTTGGGCCCTCTCCGCTGCGTCGTAAGTCTCGGCTTGGACGGTGTAACAGCAGACTGTGGCTCAAGAGCATCGTCCCAGAAAGATTTCCTCGAGTTCGGTGTAATAGCAGACTGCGGCCAGCGAAATAGAGGCGTGTGCTGAGAGGTATCACTCGGAGTCCACGGTGCAGCGCTTAGCCTCGTGGGATCTGCTGACAATGGCATTAACATAGGACCGCTTACGGCCTCAACAGCTGATGACGGTGCGAGGTGAGATCTCTGAGCGGGAGAAGTGGCTGTGTCATCATCGACGGGACGCTTTCTGCCTCTCTTTGGCCGTATGTGTGGGAAAAGAGCCCTCAGAGCCATGTCATCCTCGAGGGCCACACCATCGCGGATAGGCTGGCTCGTAGGGTTACTGTCAGTAGGGATCCTTGTCCAGTAATCATTCGGAATGTCCATCAGATACTCGAAAAAAGCCTTGACGTGCATGGAATTCATCCACTTCTAGACCAGTCTTTAGTGGGTAAACCTTGAGTTTGGGTGGCCCTACATCACATACCTTTAGTCTCACGCCATACTGTGCAACTTTCTGGGCACTCTCCTCCTTGTTTGGGTCTGGGGGCTCAACACCGAGCTTTGTAGTCAATTCTGTCCATGTCCGGATCTCGCTGTTGTAAAACTTGCGGACGAGCTCATAGATGGCGAATGTGCTGAAGGACTTGCCGCCGCTGCGAGGGGGGTTACGGAATGCCTCTCTCAGACTTGTCGTGTCTGTAGGGAGCGGCACTGCCGGATTGCAAAAGAGAATAAAGTCAACGTAAGCATCCTCTACCGTGTTCTCGGAAACGCTACGGTCCGGGAGACCCGGGCGCGTGGTCGGAGGCGCAGCGGATCCGGCCCCCGATGCGCCGGGCTGAGGTGGAGGCTGAGTCTGGGCCGGACTCGGAGCCGGAGGAGAAGGAGAGGGCCCGGTTGCGTTGTTGACAGAGGCAGGTGACGGCATTTCGAGTTCATCTCTTCAGGTTTTTTCTTGGCCGTGAGTTATTTTAGCACGTCACGTCTTTTTACATAGTCGATCTTGCTGTTTCGTGTTTCGTCTCATGTGAGAATTGGGGGTAAACAGAGACAGACAAGAGTGAGCCCGAAGGATGAGATTTGAGACATGAACTGGCTGATCCAACGGGGCAACGGACGAACAAATGGACCAAGGCTGAGAAAATCTCTCTAAGAGCAACGGTATTCCAGTTTAAGACAGTTTAAGACAGTTTAAGAGTGTGATAGCCTTGCAGATACCATTT